TTAAGAGCTTCGAAAATTTGTAATTATTAGCCGTAGTCTTCTTTTTGCTCTTCTTGGTGTGTTTTACATATACGTCCATTACTACGTTACATACGTCCAGCAGCGCGCAATCTATCCTGAGGATAGTTATCGGGGAAGGGTTAGGGGAACAAGGCAGAAAAGTACGGTTCAGCTTTAGGTACAATAGCTTTCGCGCGGTTGTATATCTTACTTTACGAACTCAGTACAAACGAAAAAAAAAAACAGCCCACAATTTTAGTAAAATAATAAAAAAGGAGCAAAGATATGATTATAGAGGCTAAATTCCGGAGTGGTTGATTTTTAGTAAATGAACTTGTGAACACGGGAAGCATGTTTTGAGTTAAAATAAATATTTCTATTTTCTAAACAAGGTATTCACGAGCTTCCTGTAGTTTTAATTTTGCTTTGATTGTCCTAGCTAGCAATGAAAGTGACCCAAAACTGATACATTTCTCATTCAGCAATATCAGAGATTTCTGAGGAATCAACGAACGCTTGTTACTTCAAACAATAGACCTCTTTAGCTTGTATGTTTTGTTTTCCCAATGTACGTCATGTGATAATACTCTGGAGAACAGTTCCTTAATTTATGAAAAGACAAAGGCGCAAATTTCCCTGAGACCTCTATTGGGAAAACAAACCATACAGCTAAAGGGGTCTATTTATTCGAATGAGCCAGTATACTAGCGCTTGTTGAAACATTCTATGTAGATAGTGGATCGGTCATTTGGTAGAAAGTAACACAGAAAGAAGCAATTGTTTAGTGAGTGCTGAAGTGAAGAAAAGAATGTCGAGTGAACATAATGGATAACAATAATAATAGTTAAACAAAAGAAACGTATCAAGACGGATTTTTCTTTGTTTTGACAGGATAAAAGCTGGCCAAAGTTATTTTGATACACTACCACCTCCGGTACTCGATACCGCTGTGGACTGCAAAGTACCTTGTGCCTGTTATGGAAAAGGAGAAGAAGGAAGGACAGAATGCCAACGAGAGCTTCCTGTACATTTCCCTAACATAATGGATCAGGGAGGAACACCGGTTATACTTACAGGAGAAAACAATATAGATGGTAGAAGAAAAAGGAGTATTAAGTATACAGATGATTTAACCGATGAAGACTTTGAGCTGTTCAAACTTCATGCTGGGTCAAAACGTTCTAACAGACATAAACGGGCGTTGCCTCCAAAGGCTAAATTTTCAAAAGGAAACGCAACTCAATACTGTACGAAAAGGCTTTCCGATACAGAAATTGGAAAACTCTGCGCAAACCTGGGGGCTAATTTGCAGGAGCTGGTGGACTCTTGCGCGGTAGATCTTGAGGTAATTCTTGTTTCCTTAATAAAAAGAAAATTAAAATTAACGTCCTATTAATGGGACAAAAATATCTTCACCTTTTGTACCAGACAACTGAAAAGCATTGATGGCGAAATCGAACCTGAGGTTGCACCTCCTTGGTCAATTAATTACCTTCCATCCTCTTGTCAAAGACTCCGGGATTAAAAGTAAAAACGTGATGAGTCTATCAATTTATTGAAGACATGTGGATGCGGGCAATAAGATCAGTAACGTATGTAAAACAAACTGCCGTGATATTTTTGCTTTCTGCGCTTAACAATTTAGTTCTGCCTGTTACGGTCAACAGAAATTTTAAAGAGAAAAAATCAATGTTTATAAGTCACAAGCGGCGTAAGCCATTAAGAATCTAACGGGAAGGAAAAAAGGCAGGAATTAGTCTGTAAGCCATGAGACAAAACAAGTAAAGCTCTCTACACGCCGGAATTACTTTACTTGACTATAATTTCTCTCACATTCTAGTTGACAGGAGAGACCGCGTTTGCAATTTCTGTTGCATCCTTACTCATGAATGAATGCGGCGAAATAGCTGGCAGAAACCTGTCTTACTATTTAAACGCAAGTAATGAAGAGAAACCAGAAGTTCCTTCCTATCTGACAAATATCATTAAAAAGCTGTGCCCGAATGACTGTACTTTCAATGGTAGATGTGTAAATGGGTCATGCATCTGCAACGAAGGGTATACCGCAAACGATTGTGCGATACCGATTTATCAGATACCACAAATCTCCATGTAAGTTAGCAATAGCACAAAAATTTATATTCTTCGCCCGATAAATCTAATCTTGATCTCACCCTGTGTCGTCCAGATTCCAGGTACCCAAGATACCAGATTCCTAGTCTGTGGAACTTGGGTTCCAGATTTCAACCCTTAGTGGAAATCTGGATTCCTAGAGCTAAAATTCCGGATTCCAGATTCTACAAACAAATTTCAGAATCCTCACAGAAAGCATGATCGTGATCAAGAGTTATCGAGTTTCAGCTAGTTTCTAATATATCGACTTTCTTCACATAATTAAAAATTGATTTATTTAAAACTAATCTCTTACGTAGACGTTTCTTTTGGTCTCACGTCGAAAAGGATGTCTGCGTCGGGGCTGACTCGAAACATTGTGATTTTAAAACCACATGTCTCAAATCACCCGGCCGAAAAGACAAAAGCTTCAATAAAATGTTCACGCGAAAACAGACAAGTCAAGTGAAGGCTACATCCTTTATTTCTTGCAGGATTTTTTCCAGAAAAAGGCAAGTTCGGATCACTTTCAGGGCGAGATTTAGGGGGCAATAAGTAGACAATTACTTTATTATTTTATTATGGTACAATGTAGGTTCTATGCTGGTATAATTGATCATTTTTATAATACTAGTATTGCCGTTGAATTTATCCACAGGTTGCAAGGAAATGGTTTGTGTGACAGGCGTCAACGCCCTTGTCGCAAGGTGACGGTGATGGGAACTGGTTTTGTCAATTCAACAAATATGACTTGTCATATCACAAAATTCAAGGTACAAAATTACATCTTAGGAATTGTCATCTCCTTTTTTTTACCATTTTTCCAGCACGGCAGAAGTAGGATAGTGTATAAAAATCTTCGCTATAAACATTACTTAACAGAACTTCTTGGGATAGCAGGTCGACTAAAACGCAATCTTTCTATTTCTGTTACATTTATATAGGTTGTTAACAGTTCTTGGACACCGAATAACACAGAAATCCGATTACCTGGTACAATGACAGACTTGGCTCTTACAGAGTGTCGTTTACCTGAATTACCAGTGATGCCTGGCCATTACCATGAGAAAATTGAAGGGACACCTGCCGCTGGACTTATGATATCCCTGTCTAATGATGGTGAACACAAGAGCGCTAAGAATCTCACTTTTATTTCCTATGATTCGGCTTGCCTGAGTTGTAATGTTTCGACGGGATGTGTGCTGAAGGTAGTTGTTCTTGCGCGCCATTTTCAGACGTAAACTGAATATTTGTGGGGTTGTAGTTTCCACTCGTGCAGTAGTTTACCAACTAAGAGCCCCCTACGTAAAAGTCTAAGGATCCCTGTGCAGTACCCCAGAATGTCTGTAGGGTCATGGCCACGGAAAGCTAGCGCCTCGGGAAAACGGGAAAATTCAAACGCAAGCCAAACAATAATGCCTACTAGGACGAAGGATTACAACTACTGAAAAGATAGTGTCTCTAGGTGCTCGCACGTTTAGCAAGCAGGCTGAGTGAACCCATGCAGCCGCAGTTGCAGCTCCAATTTCAAAACCATGCCTGTGAAACTTCCCCGGGTGCCCTGCCGATTTTTGGGTGGTTTGCGAGAATAAAAATGGCTGAAACCTTCAAAAGAAGGGTGCCGTAAGGAAAAGGAAGATTCGACCGGCGCGCAGCCCTACGGAGCCCAAGATAAAGGTAATTTATGAAGGAGTTTAATGGACGAAGAATGATGGAAACACGCCAAAGATGAAACAGCCCTTACGGCAGTTGATGAGTACCCGGAAAAATTGGAGATTCCTAGGGGTACTCTACTTTCAAATGTCTTCCGTTGCAAAATGCAACGTTGGTAAGATTAAAAGGACAACTTACCGTAAATTCACCGGCTCTCAGATATCTAGAGTAGCCAAAGCAAGCATGCCATTGATTTTTCATGATCAAAAAAGTTCAGCATACAATAACGGGCTACGTTGAGGCAAATTTGAACCCTAGTGTCGCTCCATCTCTCGTAACAGGAGCTGATTTTGAGAACGGTCGAACTAAATGATCGTGTTCCTTTTTGACGGTTGTCTTGATTTTACAGGGAAATTCTTGCTTTATAAATCGTTACTGCTTCGCGCCAAACGAGACGAATCCCAACGACTTGTGCTACCAGTGCCTTCCGGACGTCAGCGAAAGCAGGTGGACAAAACGCCAAGGTAATTAGTAAATTGAATTTCACATTCTCAATCTTTATTACAAATTCTGGAACACTTTACCTGGTCTTTTGCTTTCATTCCCTTCACTGGAGATCCCGTGTATTGTTAGTGTTTTTTAAGTATTACATGGAAATTTTTAATGACCGCGATTTAAACATATCATCTTCTATTTATATTACTATCATAGTGTTCATTTTGATAATAAAAGTGTATTGATTGAATGTTTTGCTCGCGCCATATCTACTTGTGCACCGTGGCAGAATTTGTTAGGGTTTTCTTTCTATTTCAGTCGAAAAATTTTGTTTTTTTTTAATTGCAATCCTAACTAAAGCAAAACCAGCTCTTCCATAAGGCATGTTAAACATACTTGGGATGATTTGTGTTATGGTAAAACGAGGGCTTGAAAAATGAAAATGAGATCAAAAGTCAATGTTTTATCCAATAAGGAAGACGTTTGTAGGTTTCGTCTGAAATACTTCACCTCACTGTATTTTTGTGAGATGTCAAAATCCACTAAGAACGAGAATATAACTGTCAGCAACTTAACTTCGTGTCTTTCTATGAAGGAGTGTGGGACTGGGTAGGGAGAGCACCTTGCATAGGAACCATTGATCTATATTTGCGTTTTCCCATTGGGCATGTCTGGTAGACAAAGTGTAATTAGATGGAAACAGACAACGATTAGTTAATTTATACGACAGCGTTTAACAACAATCATTACCCTTTCTCAAAGCAAATTTTAAGATGTCTTCTACCCAGAAAAATGCATGCTATATATTTGTTGTTTCTTAGTGAATCTTCCACCTCGATTTGCAATATCCACCCAGCATTTTGCGCTGTTTGAAGAACTTCTGAAACTAGTTATTGAGGTGTTTGACCCAGAAGGGATGCCTGTCAATGTGTCATTAGCCAATGGAAGCCCAATAGACGCTGCGATGCGGGACAACGTTCTAATCTGGAACGTAACCAACAATGCAAAAACCCACTTCTTTCTTCGTGCAACGGATATCTGTCAAGCCACTTCCTCCTCTAATATCTCAGTGTCCTTGGTTGACTGCCAGTGTCGAAATGGAAGTTGTGTTCCACATCCAAATAAGCCCAGGGGGTCTGGCTTTTATACATGTGATTGTGTTCCTGGCTTCACTGGAGACAAGTGTGAGACAAACATCGACGATTGTCGCTCCTACCCCTGCATACGAGGTAATGGCGTTTATTTCATTTTGTAGCTCATTCAGATGATCCACACTAAACAGCCTTACAAACAGATGACGAAATAAAATCCCGTCGAGGTGGGTCTTCTTCAGCGATTGTCATTAATAGTGGGAGACATGAACTTTCTACTGGATCAAACTCTTTCTCGATCTCGTTAGCCACCGGTTAGCCGGCCATAATTTGCTCTCCGATAATCCTTCGTTAACTTGTACAGTTGGTAGGAAGGTAAGGTAGGTATAGGTAGGAAATACTTATTCAGGTCAAAAGAGAAGAACTCTAGCCCCAACAAACTCTGTTGGTTTGATTTCCACGAAGGACGTTTTTATACATAAAAGCGGTAAATCAAATTACTGAATTACTTCTACAATAACTTCACTGATCCACAACTATATTATTATAGCAAGACAAATAAAGTGTTAACTATATTACTATAAAGATATACAGCTTGGACCCAACTAATTTCTAATAATAAACTTTTTAAATGAAATGAATGAGAGTTTTGCTTTAATTATTTATTATTGTTCAATTTCTGCGCTCGTTTCTCAGACGTCATTTGGCGGGGAAACCAGTCTTAGCGTCGCCAAATGTCGGCTAGCAATTGGAAAAGTTTGTTTGTTTCAGGTCGCTGTATCGATGGCATCAACAACTTCACGTGCATTTGTGACGCAGGCTATATGGGAAAGACATGCGACATTGATTACGATGACTGCAGTTCTTCTCCTTGTGATCATGGTACTAACACATTCGCTTTGTTACACTCCATTACAAAAACTACTTGGAAACGGTCGCTGCCATTTTTACGACACTGTTATTGTGAGTGTTTCTATTAAAAAGAAAGAAAATCGCAACCCAGGGTCGAACCCGGACCTTTCGTATCCTAATCTCTTTCTCAGCACCACTACACTACCACACCGACCTGCCAAAATTCTGAAACATTTAAGTACATGCACTAGCAAACTGTTACATCAATAATAGGTGACATCAGCCCTTTCCATAACTTTTAAGGTAAATTTACCGTGGGTATCAATGTCGCTCTTTCTAAAACAATTCATAAGCGCATTTATATATTTGCCTTATTGCAATTTAATCCAGGAAACATATTTCATTTGCCATCACTAAAGGCTTGGTTACTAATGGTGTCATCGGCCGTTAAAAATGGCAACGACCGTCTACGAAAGGGAAATAGGCGTAGTTGGGGTTTTGTCGGATGGACATACAAACTGACCGTCCCAAAAGCAATTGTCAAAAGCAAATGGAACACAGACGAAGGAAGAGCTTGAAAGCTTTTGGGTAAAATAACGGGAGTTGCATGTAAGAGTCGGTATTATTATAATTATATTGCTATTATTATACATGATTATTATCAATATCATTAGTATTGTTATTTTCATTTTTATCATTATTAGTATTATCATTATTATTACCCATTTGGAAGTCTGGAGGAATTCTTTTGTTCTTTCTTTTTCATTAGTTTCGGAATTTTTTAGCCTGGCGTCTTGGCTCGTATGAGTTTTCTCCCTGCTTTCTCTATCATTTGCGAATTACTTTGAAGCAGTTCATTTCATTTTTCTTATTTAGTTTCTTTTACTTTTAGGGAATTGTAGCGACTTCACGGGCGCCTACAGGTGTTCTTGTGAGCCTGGCTACGGTGGACAGAATTGCAATATTGACATAAATGAATGCCAATCATCCCCTTGCATTCACGGTGAGTAGCTTCAAAGAATGGACATGTGTTAAAGATAAAAAGTTTAATTTGCAAGCGTTCTATACGTACGATTAGGGTAATATTCTTGCCGTCCTTGAATCTATCGGAAATCTATTCGACATTTTTCCCAAATGATGCTTTAAATTTTTCCTTAAAATAATTGTAATAAATTGAGGAAAGCCACATTTGCTAAAGATTCAACTGTAATTTTCATACTCTTTACAATAAAATTTGCCCAAGGTTTGTTTCTTAAGTCCCTTTAAAAGAGATTAATTGGGGTAGAGACGAGATCTTAGGGCGTTGGCCGGGATAACTGTGAATTTCACACATTACGTTATTTTTAGAGGTTGTAAATAAACGAAAATTTTATTCCTGAGACGTCCGCACATCGTCATCAACTCTCCACGCGCAAACCCTTAGCCTCAAAGCAAACGATGCAGAATATGTGGAAATCTCTTTTTAAACACGGAAGAAAAGTTTGCGGACCTCTCAGGAAACCACCTGTCGAATAATGTTAGCGTTTGATTAGCCTAAAAATACAGTAAAAACCCGTGTATAAGAACCTAGACTTTTCCAACTTACCTCGGCTAAATAGGTTCTTATAGAAAATAGCATTTAGTGGGATTTTAGGCCACTTATGAAATGAATAGGTTCTTAATTTGATAGGTGCACAAGCGATCAGCACAGATAACTACTACAGGACATAATTATGTGATATGGAATATATTGCCGTATTAAATAATTACATGTATCTAGAATACAGATTAGATGATAACCATACAGCAAATTTATCTTTCCAAAGTACTTGCATCCATGTCTTTCATGCTGCAGTGTCCATACAATGCTGTGTTTCATTTTGAATCTTACTGACTCAGGAAACCTAGAGTAAAATTTTTTTCTGTATTTTCATCTGTGCCTTCATTTTTGTAAAGTAAGAACCTATTGAAAATTTTAGGCTAAATAGGTTCTTACGAAAAGGGGGTTTAAAATGAGAATTTTAGCCTAGCAGGTTCCTAAATTTTAGGTTCTTATACATGTACGTGGGTTTTTACTGTAACTTTCAGCAAATTCACTTATCTCTTCTTATTATTCTCTCTTGGGCCCTTTTAAGAAGATATAGAGACTCTAAAGGAATGGAGTATTAGGAGGAAATGACACAGGAGATTCCATTTGTGGTCATTTGTGTTTGGCCCGTACCTGCCAGGTCCGTTTTATGCAATTGCTCCAAGAGAGAAGTCTAGCCCAGTCTGGCCCTTGTGAATTTAACCAACTTTTTTCTGACCAATTTATTTAAATGCTTGAAATAAATAGGAGGTTGGTTTCCAAAGAGGTCCGAACTTTTATTCAGTATTGTTAAAAGAGATTTAAACAGTCGTCATTACAGTATTCTGCAAACGTTAATCTCACCATTTTTCATGCAAAAAATGCGATCAACAGTGCGGAAAGTGAAAATGGAATAGTTTCGTATTATCAGACTGATAAAGAAGAGGTAAGCCCTCAAAGATTATAGTTTAGCAACCAACGTTTCATAGTGTCGACTGGTATTTAAACCGTCTCTTTTACTTAAATTGCTGCCGAGTTTGAATTCATTTTTTGAAAAATAATGTATTATTAACGTCAATACGTGGGATGGAGTTGCCCCGATCATCCGAGCCAGAGGCTCATGTATAATGCTCATGTTCAATTTTCTCCTTTAGGAACATGTTTTGATGGCGTTAATGGGTATAATTGTAGTTGCCATAATGGATACATGGGTCACAATTGTGACGTGGCGATGGTTGGATGTCTTTCCTCCCCTTGCGGCCACGGTAAGTTGCTGTCATATCAATACAAAAAACCCGGGGGAAATGACACTGATAAATACCGTACTTTGAAGAATGTTTGGAATATGAACAACAACCTTGAATTCAAACGAGATATCAGTCATCTCAATCGTCATCTCAAGTAAAACAGTTAAGATTTATGATTCCTATAAATGGTGTAGGTTTCTTGAGAAGGACACAATAGAGAGCTTTAGATTCTGAGACGAGGACGACTACGATTACGAGATTTTCTGAGTAGTGCTCGCGCGTGAACCAGCGTCATTTTGGCGGGAAAACGTGAAAGTAGTCGTCATTCTACTACGAGTTTTAGTGAGTTTTAGTGGTGAAAACAAGTTATAAGATGTTAGAGGTTTTATAATTATTGCGATCGGGAGAGGGGCTTGACCTCCTTCAATGAAGATAACAGTACTAACTTTTTAGGTGACTAAAAAGTAAAATAAAGCTTCCCGTTTCCATTCTTTGAGAATACTCGAAAATACTTAAAGTCAAATCTCGTACTCGTAGTCGCCCTCGTCCTGGAATTAGAATCTAAAGCTCTCTAATAATTCGTGAGTGAAGTTTAAAGCCAGTGTTTCGTCATGTTTATTAGCGTCATTAGCGCGAGATATATTCATTCCTCGTCAAAAACATGCGAAGAAAACGAACCCCAAAAACATAAGCGTTTAAAATTTTCTTCAAAATAACAAATGATGCTCATTTTATACCTACATGTATATTAAACAATTATTGAATGTAGCTGAGAATAAAAGGAGGTCGAAATAATTACGCAGATCGAGGAGGGTGTTATCAACCGAGGTCGATGGCTGAGGTGGATAACAGCCTCCGACAATCCGAGCGGGTACATAAATTGTTATCGAGTGAATGAGTGGTCCTGTTTTATGTGTCTCTAGGTCGCTGTATTGATGGAAATAACACCTTCACGTGCACGTGTGACTCTGGCTTTGTTGGAAGGACATGCAACATTGACTACGATGATTGTAGTTCCTCTCCGTGTATTCATGGTACTAAGAATAACACATTATTGTGTTACAACAACAACAACAACAACAACAACAACAACAACAACACCGGCAAAATAACAGAAAAAAAAGGGAAAGAGAAAGAGAGAGGAAGAACAAAAAAATCATTGTACTCTACATTCGTTTCGAAGAACCCTAAACGCAGGAGTCCGGGTTCTCAAGGGGCGTTTCAGATTTATATGTTATTCGGTTACATTCCAAATCGTGACCGAATCTGCCATCTCTCTCTACACCAAGGCAGCACGGAAAGAAAAATCCAGCGCATTAAAACCTTGAAATCGGTTCTTATTATTCTAACCGAACTAATTACCACTTTTCATTCAGCTGATTTTTTGTAGCTCCAACATACGGTATACAACAACAATCCCCTGATTCGCTGTGACGAAAGGCTAGCGCTGGAGCTTCAATTTCTTAATCCCCCTATGGAGTTCAATCTACTTTTTAACATTAATTCAGTTGATAAAACCAAACCTCGATATCAGGCTTATTTACCCAATCATGAGTCTGCCTTGAGTGACTCAAGTCTTCTCTTTTTTTTAGGGACTTGCGTGGATCTGGTAAACAGCTACTCGTGTTCCTGTGCTGTTGGCTTCAATGGTACCAACTGTGATAAAATCATCACGAGCTGCACCAATGACTCCTGCTATTCTAACGTAACTTGCTACGAAAATAACCAAACGATTAGCTGCGGCCCTTGTCCACCAGGATTGACTGGCAATGGAAAGAATTGCTATGGTAAATAGACCCTTCCACGGAGTTTTCAACTTTTGATATGATGGAAAAGTGAGGGAAAATCAGTCGTATCCACTGAAAAAAAGAGCCTTAAAATAAGTAAATTTGCCAAGTTTGAAACTGATTTGTTGAAAACTAACGAAGGTATTGCTCCTCAAAGCTCCGAAATTTTACAGACGTTTGTATAATGGGGAGCACAATTTGCCCCCACAATACAAACGTCTGCAGAGCTATTAATATCTTCGCTCACTTAAAACGTATCAATTTCAAATTTGACCATTTTACTAATTTTAAGGCGCTCTTTCAAGTGAGGTGGATAGATCAGTCCCCTTACTGGTCCATGTCAAAAGTTGAAAAAACTGAGGAAGTGTCTATTAGATTGAAGGTCTTTATCCATGACTATGAAAAGGTACTTTTCAGGTTTATGTAAAATTAACTACAACGTGGTTATGCAAAGCGAGAAATGGCTGCTTCTCAACCCACTTTAATTTTTTCTTCTTCGTACAGTATTGACCGAATGTCAATGTAAAAATGGAAGCTGTGTTCCAAACCCCAGGAGACCTGGCTCTTATAACTGTGATTGTTTTTCTGGCTTCACTGGAGACAAGTGTGAGACGAACATCGACGAGTGCCAAAGTAACCCTTGCTACCGAGGTAATGGCTTTGATTTTATATTGAAGCTTTTGAAGTCATTTTAACAAGAAAGATATCAAACAGCATTACAATCGGATGACAGAATTAACATTAACGCTGTTTTCATTTGCCTGTACTTTTTTCGTTTAAAGTAGCTGGTTACGTACTTCTCCATCCAAACAGATGAAAAGTACTGAAAAATTAATCTTTTGCTCCTTTTGATACATACTTTTTGGTCTACGAAATTTTTGAGTTCTTTGACCTGAACGTATCATGGTAAAAGGAGGGAATCCGGCCTAGAGGCTGAATGGAAACTTAGTAGGGTTGCTGAGTCAGTAAAGGCAGAGAACTTCCAAAATTTGTTTCACATTCGGCGTCACAAACACCCGTAGGGGATCGGTGTTTCAGGTAACTTCTTTCTCAGGGTCTTCCTCATTCCCCTCTCCTGGAAACGTGGATGTGACCAAGTGGTCGTTTACTGGCCCATTAGCAGGTAAAGAAAGAAGGGTTATTTCAAACAATCTCTTCAAAAAGTGGTCGCGCTCCTTTACAAGTTCCAAGTGCTTTATTGACTGGGAACATTTATTTGGTCCTCTACGAGACGTCATCACCTGCAAGAGTTGGTGTCACATGCATCAAGGTTCGTCCTGATCACAAGTTTTGGCAGTGGTTTTCTCCATAAACCATCGGGTTGTAATGAATAACGTCGCTAACTTGTACTTACATTTTTCTGTTTGAAATGAATGTGTTTGAACAAACTAGCTCTTTTTGCTAGCTGAACTTGTGCTTGCAATGCATGTGTAATGACCAGAAAGCTAGCCGCGCAATTTTCATCACTAATAGGAACGATAACGCGTTAAATTAGAAACACTCAGTGATCTTGGTGATTCGAGCAATTTGATTGGTTCGCTATTTCGGACTGTGGCGTTATAATCACCGTGCTTGGCGGTGAACATAAAGCAAAAGAAAATCGCTGTCTTTAACTGGGTGTTTTGCCAAAGTTTCAGAGTAAGAACTTTTTGAAAATATAAGAATATCTTAGTGTTGACGATTTTGAAGGTAAGAAAAGCCTTCATGGTGGTTTAATAAACAGCGTGAATTATTTTGAAGTGATCTACTGTAGCTGAATGTTTACATACTCGAAGCAATTTTACCACTACAGAGGAAAAAGAAGCCGCTTTGTCACTGTTTTGTGAACTCGTGATTTCCTTGCAAGACCAATTTTGCCTATAAATAGAACTTACTTTATAGAAAAAAAAAAGGAATGCAAATAATTTCAAAAATTGTACTTGCCAGCAAGTTAACAAGGGCAAAGAACACTGCAGATAAACAACGATCACCTCGATCGTAACCGCTGTTGACAGCATTTGTAAGAAGCGACAAAAAAATCTCTCTCATTCACGGTGAGTTGACAGATGAGAAGCAAATAAAGCTCTACGTTTCTTCTCAGAAGGGGTAGTAATTTAATCTTTCGACGTTTTCTTTCAAACCATTGATGCTAAAGCTTACAAAAAGATTAGAAACTTTGATATGCCATGTTGAAGATACTGTAAGCTTAAAGATCTAACTTTCGCGCATCTACTGTTTACGGCTACATGTTCACGCATGAATTCACCTGTCAATCAAACTAATCGTTTTTTAATGGTTACCTTTCTGATTCTGTTAAGATCTGACTTCGTGTGTATATACTAAATCAATTATTCACCTCAGGCTCAGTTAATATTGAATATGAACTTCGCCTTCGGTAATATTTGTGAAATAGCAAAGTTCGCGTTTGTTGTTTGTTGTCGATACATGTACTTTACTACGTACATTGTATTTACAGAGTTAAGTTAAAGAAATAGTACATACCTCTATACGCCTATGAGCTATTTCTAAAGCGTATTGAATCTGTTATATCATATCAGAGATTCAATACGCTTTTTCTTTCGTCATAATGGGTAATCTCAGCAATTTCTTCCCTACGGAATGCACTATCCGTGTACAAATTGGTGATGCACGAACAAGCCAGAACATTAGGCTACTAAACGTCATCTAACCACTGGAGTGTAAATGACGGTGGTAATGTTTCTTTTGTTTCAGGACGCTGTATCGATGACATCAACAACTTCACGTGCATTTGTAGCCCTGGCTATGTTGGAAGGACATGCGACGTTGATTACGATGACTGCAGCCCCTTTCCTTGTGTTCATGGTACTTTAATTTGCTACAAATTTGCGTCAACTTTTTGTTCCTCAAATTTGTATTACCATCACAAAGTAAACAGTGGTGTCTGAAATGCTTCCCCACTCTCTGATGGTTTAACCTAGCGAGTGAATGCGTGAGTGACTGAGTGGATGAGTGACCAAAGTGGCATGTTTTGTTTGATTGCAGGTCATTGTAGCGATGGTATCAACAAGTTCACGTGTATTTGTGACGCTGGCTATGTTGGAAGTACATGCGACGTTGATTACGATGACTGCAGTCCTTCTCCTTGTGATCACGGTACTCAATAAATTGCAAAATCACGTTAAGTTTTTGTTGCACTCGGCAATTAACATATGACGTTCGGAAAGTATTTAGCAGTGATTTATTAGATTCTTCTTCGCCCCTTCGGTTTTTACCTGGCTAGTAAGCCAGTGACTAAGTGGCCATTGTTTTCTTTATTTTCAGGTCGCTGTATAGATAGCGTCAACAACTTTTCTTGCATCTGTGACGCTGGCTATGTTGGAAGGACATGCAATATTGATAACGATGACTGCAGTTCTTCTCATTGTGTTCATGGTACTTAGTAACAAACTCATATTAATTTTTTGTTACACCTGGACTGATTTTTTCGTCTTGCTGTGATTCCACCAACAGTGTTGCTCCCTCGTTCGATATATACACTTCATACAAACCACCTTCTTTTGACTCGCTCCAACGAAATGCGGGCACTCTAATCTTCAACTTTTCAATCCTTTTTACGGTATATAAAATTAATTGGTCAGTATTCAGGCCTGTTATTAAAAACTGAATCATTTCATAATGCAATTCTAGCGTTTTGATTGGCTTAGCCATTATGGTATATGAGCCATTATACCATGCTCTCCATATATGGTCGGTGTACGCGTCAGTTTAAAATTGGAAGCTAGCTGACATTTTTTTTCCGCGAAGGATAGAATGGCGCCCGAAGCAAATCGTTTTAATTCATAGTCTTAGAATACTAGAAAATGAAATTTCATCGGGAAAATAACAAACAAACAAAAAAGCCACGAGAGCTTGTTTGAAAGTCTATCGAAAAAACACATGAAAATACATGGAACTAAAGTACCTTGGCCAGCTACGAAAGACTACGTGTTTTTTCTTTATGACTGCGAAGGCACTCGCCGAGTCACTCGCCGATAGATAATTGCGGCTTGTTTATCCGACATGAAGAATATAAGTCACAAGTAACCAGAATACAGGCTATGCAGCCATTCACTACAGCAATCGAGGCGTCAGTATAGCTTCTTTTCTCGTTCAGCAAAACCAGCTGGTGGCTTCAAACAACTTCATAACAAGCGAACGAGGTAATAGTTTTTCTCCGTTGTTTTTACTTTTGTAACTGCACCGAAAATCCAATTACACAGTAATTTCGACGGCTGTTACTTAAAAATTCTTTTTCTTCTCATTATCTGCCAGGATTTTTTAGCTGTCCTGCTGTGTAAAATCCTAGAATCTCAATGAGTTTTTAAAAGTGTTTATCGCTACAATGTTTTCATTTTTCATTCATCCAGTCCAGGCGAGTCCGTTGGCGCGTTGACAGTTTTGATAGACGTGTGACATGTGAATAGTGGAAGTCTCTTGTCTTTTCCGGTTTGTTCTTACAAAATTAAGTCGGGAGATTCAACAAGATTTTGTAGGCGTTTTTAATAAACAATTATTCCACTCGCGCTTGTTGGATATGAGATGATTATAGCCAACTAAAGCGCCTCGTTGGCTATTTACCATCTCATATCCAACGCGCCCTGGTGGAATAATTATTAAATAGCAGGGAAAAATAGAAATGCACCCAACTCAATTAAGATCGTATCTACATTTGTGGCCTTCCCAAAATTAAAGTAAATCAAGTGCATACATGTAGGAAAATCGGGAACAGCACCAGCAACCATAGCCCTAAAGAAAATTAAAGCAAGTTGGCCAATGAATGTCAATCAACGTTGGCGGCCAACCTTGCTTTACTGACCATTTTCGTTAAAGGTCGAAAAAGCGTCACAGTTAACCTGTCAATTTTCTAATTAAGTGAGCGATGGATACAAGTGGTAAGTAGTGGCAAAAAATAGTGAGAAAAAAACGTCATTTTTCTACTCTGATTCCTCCTTCTTGTTTCTTAACCGATTTCTGTTTTTATTATTTTCTCATAGTGGTATCGGAAAGTTCCACAGTACCTTCGAAACCTACAACTGAACTTGTCCAGGAGGGAATTACTACTGGTACCGTTTTCTTTTACTTTGAAAAGATATTAGCTTATTATTATGTTGGCGGTCTTATTTTGTTCATCGCCGTTTAGTGACACCGATTTCGACCCGTATAAACAACCGTGACATTCCACTTTGTATCAACGGACAGTCAGAGAATAGCCAAGAGATTGATGGATGATGGAGTGTCCCCTTCAGACCTTCAAATTAAACTCCATCCAAGGCATATTTTATAAACATGGTCGTTCTGTCAGGATAAGTATATCTTGATTTTTATATCACGACCTTTCGAAGGCTTGAAGATACTCGCCGCCACGTTTGCTTTCGCCAAAAGCCACGAGCACTAAATGCTGGAAACAGTTTTCCAAGTCTTTCAATTTTTTTCACGCGCTCTTTTTTTGAACATAATTATAAGGTAAGGTTAACAACGTTTCTTGTATGAATGGTACTAATAATTTATGTAATGCAGGTTTTGAATTGGTGCTTCGGGTATATGAAGAATGGGACGACCGATTTCGAGTGGAGACCAGTGATCAATTTAAGAGCCTTGCTGGAGTTCTGAAAAATGAGGTATGTTTTGAGAATTAATGCAGAGTTAGTTTAACTTGTATGTTTCTGAGTGATGCTCTGTGTAAAAACTAACGCGGCAGTTTCACCGTGCATTCAGTTTTTGAAAATTCAAAGGAAATGTTCTTCAGTGGTATAAGTTGCAGTATTAAGCTAAGTTGAATGCCTCATAACTTTAAGGAACAGTCAAATTGATAAGGAGGAGAAGGGAAGACAAAAGAATATTCTTGATGGTGATGGAAGAAAAAAAAAAGGAAAGTGATGGGGGCGGGTAAAACAGACGAAATGCGGTGGAATTGGCTGTAGAGGAGAAAGGAGGGAAAACAAAAGAATGTTGTATGCATGGTGGTGGTGGTAGTAATGGAAACTAAATCCCATTCAATAAATTTTGGGGTTGGTAATCAAGAAACGACAATAGAAATGTGGTGGTGGTCATGGTGGAGCTAGGAGGGACGTCAATTCTTGGGTTGCACGTGACGTCACCAAAAATCAAACTAAGAAACTATCGATTCTTCTGAGTTTCTACTTTCACGAGGTATTACAGTACCTAAACACCTTTACATAAACAAAGTTTTGGTTCGAAAGGGTTCTTCGTTTTGCGAGAGAGGGCGCTTGAATTTCCAGGCTTTTGCGTGATGCGGCATTTAGCTGGCGGCCGGGAAAGCCCTCATGTGGGTTAAAAACATTATCGATTTTGGGAGATTTTGCAATCTAAACATTCCTTGTCGCAGAATAAATATTACTGTAATCTTTATGAGTTCCTCAAGCGAAGAATTCACACATTAGTAGGAAAACTCGAAAACAGATGTTTCTGTTGGTATCCGGCGGCCATATTGGTGTTCCTTAAAGAGACACCAACTTGGCGTTTCCATACAAAGCTTTATAAATCTAGGTAAACCGTTTTTCCCAACATCTCGCATTTGAAATATTTCACAGACCTGATTCTTGGCAAGGGTGTTTGTATATTTATATTTTTTCATTTCCCAGATTCTAGTCCATCTGTATTGAATGCTTTGCATTTTTATTTATCATTGCGTGACAGTGCAAGCCGAGAATAGAACCGTGATGGTTTTTAGGGTAAGGGTGACACTAGAAACTGTGGCTGTGATCGAACGGGAAAAAATAGAAAGATCTTTATTATTTGCCACAGGATGCATAATATAATTAAATAAAATGTTAATGCTAAATTACGATTACAGAAATTCGCCGACAATCAAATTCTGTGCTGACTTATTCCCTGCTTACAGCACAAATGTCCTTCCGCTATACAGTTTAAAATAAGACTAGAATGCGCGAGCGTGAATTGACCAAACGTCCTGTCGATTTCTAAGGCTTACTTTCCGGTAAATAAAATGAACTGAATGTTAAAAGTTAAAGAGAAATTGCGAAAAAATTCAACTTCTAAGTAAATCTTTTCTTATGGTTTAGAATAAACTATTCTTGAAACTGAGAATGTTTCGATCAAAGCACAGGGTCCAGAGGAGATGTGTTTGTCGTTAGAACATCAAAACCCGTCGAAAACCTCCGAAACCTCGATTTTCAAAAGTCGATAATCGTTTACAGTAGATTTATAAAGATTAATTGTGCTAAGCGACACTGGTATAGACATTTTTCAAGTTGAGACTTTAAATAAGTAATTCATTTATTCATACGAAACTCCTCTGGACCCTGTGATCAAAGCTGTGTAAATCCAACTGAAAATGAGCATGGAACCTTGCGTTTCCTGTATTTATCTCACCTATTGTATGGACTATGTGTGAAAATCTTCATTATTAATCGGTATATTAATTTTCAAAGAGCTACACAACGAGCAAGAATACTATTGACCGACAATATACAGAGCGGGGGCAGCTGTAGTGTCAACTATTACTAGAAGGATGATGCATAAATGCTAGGATGGAGGCGTAATGCTTAGGTTTTGACAAGAGAAATATGTTTTTGAAAGCGAAGTAGAGTGAGAACGCGACCATGATACTAGCCATGCATCCTGCGGGTGCTGGATTTGTTTACAACACAAATATTCAAACATTTCCAGTCTTTTAATTTAATCACAAAAGCGCCTTATTTCCTCAAGTGACTCAGGAAAGCGTTATCATGAAATAAAAAAAAAATGAAAGCAGATAGTTTTAAGTTTTGGAATTTTTGTTTCCTCGATTGCAGATGTTGAAAATCTATTCAAGAGTTCCTAAGTTCAAGAACGTCACAATAATTTCAATGAGGTAACGGACTGATCTTTTGCTGCTTTAGTATATAGATTTGGACTTTCTTTTTATGCGTCAGTATTGTTAACCATTTGTAAAATATTTCATATGAATTAGTAGATAAGGATGAGATTAAAGTACCTGGAACCCTCGAAAGAAGTTTCTTTTCATTTTCATGTAATTTTCAGACCAGACGAGCTCCTTGTGGTGGAATTCAAATTGACATTTGAAACCAAAGTGAGCGTTAAGGATGCTCTGGCTCCTTTGAAAAAGAAGGTGTCCAGTGGGCAGCTGGGGAGCTTGAAAGTGGACCCTAACTCCCTGAAGCTTAAGATCAATAGTCAAGGTACGTAAAAGTGCTTTTACATGTAGAACATTCTATGATTCTTTTAAACTTTTGACATGGACAAGTTATGGCGAAACTTCATCGACAACGCTAGAAAGAACGACTTGAAATCAACGACGATGTCGAGTTTGATAGTGAATTGTTGAAAACTAATTACAAAAAAAGTTAGCTCCGCAAAGCCGTTTTACAGACATTACCTTGCCCCCACTATACAAACGTCTGTAAAATTTCGTAAATTTGCTATATCTTCTGTCGCTTTTAAGGTAATTCACTTTCAAACTTGGCAAGTTACTGATTTTTAGCGGAGCACCATGGGTAATAAAATTTGGTAAACTATAGCCTGAATTTCATCCGACTACTTCGAGTCGTTATTACTCCCTCACTAACGACGTTGTTGAGAAGAGAAAACGACTCGAAGCAATCGGATGAATTTCGGGCTAGGTAAACTTTCCATCCGAGAAAATTTGGTTATGGCGTCAACGTACGTCCGTACGTCCGTACGAACTTTCCGGGTAGGGGTAAGTAGAAACGTATTCCTCCCCTCTCCCCTAGAGAGTTTTTGTCCCGTATTGTTTCAAAAGCCTTTAGATATGATTGGCAAATCAGAATCTGTCAACTGACCAAATGTTTGATGGATTTTAGGGGCCGACCATTTGACTTTTGAGGGGGTTATGGTTGATTTCAGAGAAAAGCCCTGCAGACTGATTTCGACAGGAAAAAAGCATGCAAATAAATCTGGGAGAAAAATATCCGGTCATGTCAACCATTTAGCGGGTGAGGGAAGAAACGGATTTGACACCTTTGTAAATGTCATCTATCAACAAAATGGTTGGCGTGCGATCATGATGTGGTGGTTTCCAAGACAAAAGTTTTGCATTTCAAGATTGAAAATACGCCCATAAAAGACACAAATAGAAAGAGAAAGTACAAAAGAATGCTCAGTTTCCTTTTTGTGGACAAACGAACGCTTTTCGCTTTGAAATTGTCTTTCGAGGAATTCAACCTTGTTTTCTACACGACGGTCGGAGCGCTCGGCTTGTTTTTAACCAACCAAGGCAGCGAGGTTTCTGAAGACACTTGAGGTACATTCCTTACTCTATGATCAAAGAAGAGTGTTCGTTTTCAAAAAGGAATTTTTGAATTTATAAAGGTTTCATGGACGTTTTCTACATTTTGACATGCATCGGCGTGAAAAAAAAATCACAAAATGTGCATTTGAAATTGATTTTTTGCCATGTGCTCGACCGATTTAACTTGCGTGAACGCAACGATTTAACTTGTCTTACGCGAATTGCTTTTTATGATTAACGTATGGGTTTTTGAATAAAAGTTTTCAAGAAATTAAGTTATTTATCTGTCATTGTTCATTCATAACTTTAGCTCAAAAAACGACCATGAGACTACAGATTGTGAGATTTTTAAAACATTCAGACGGGCCCTTTCTTGAATTAAAAATGAAGTGTTGTTTTTGTACATGTTCCGCATTGAATTGCTATTCGTTTTCTCATTCATCACTTGTCATTCAAGAATTTTGCAGTGTGTAGAATTCAAGGATTTCTGCAGTTTTGCAGCATGCAGTGTGCTTCTCTTTCTCCATAACTTGTGCCTTGAATACAGCTGAATGCCGCCACAATTTTGCGTTTGCGTTTGTTTTCAGTTGTTTGTTTACGGCTTCATATTCTCATTGAAAAAGTGAGCGTATCTAAAAAATGAAAGAGTTCTCCTCTATTCTAAAACGGACAGACTCGCCGGCTTCTCGAGCCCGAGTTTGTCTTTTTTTAATTGTAAGTAAGTTGCTGTATTAACGTTTATATTTGTAGTGAAAGATTGGATTATTGTTATTAGTGGCGAAAAAGGTTATCGTTTGCTTTCCTATGTCTGTCCTCAGAGAAAATATTATACACCTTTCGCTAAAATTTTTCTTTCAGATATTATGAGATGTAAATGTAAAGGATACACGAAACTGTTCGTCTGGGCCCGTTTAAAAAAAGAAAAAGAAGAGAAAAGAAAATTTAATGGGCTTACGGGAACACAAAAGGCCTTAAGTCGGCCTGATTTTTCTTTTAGGTCTTCCCTTAAACACAGAAACACCGACCTAGAAATCGTAACCTGTAAATTGCTGCTACTTAAGAGACCTACAATTTAACAATTTTTTCAATTTAGGTTTGTTGGTGGGATATTTTTTCTTAATCATTTAGCCCCTCCCTCTAAAGGTGTCTGATGCCGAAGGCTCTTAGGGATGTGAACATTTCTTTGTTTTGGCTTAGAGTTCATGTTATTACTTTAATTTGATTGTTTCACCATAAGGGTAGAAACGGAGGCTTCGCTTTTAGCCCTGGCTAAATCTATATATTAAGATGTACTTACCAGCAGTGCCAATGAATATTTGATAACTGGTCGCATATCAAAACTTTAAAAATTGTAGAATTCCATTTAGGGTCTATTAAGAACTATTAGGTTATAATTTTTTTACCTTTATGTCAAGTAGAAAATATTTCCTGAGATTTGCCTCGGAATATTGCAATAATGCCTTTAAGTTCATCATTAGTTATATGATGTTCATTATCCACTACACGTAATGGGTAAAAGCTGTCCTTGATAGACGATGGCAAAATCAATTTGTCTTCCACGACTCTTTCTGCCATTGCCACATTTTCTTGGTAAATATTATTTTTTCCTCTCCACTCTGCTCATTTCAGGCCTTCATTTTGTTTTTGTTTCTTAATCTATGCAAGGCTCTCCTACTTTAGCTTACATGATGATGTATCTTCTTTCTATGTGTCCCCCGATGTTATTGTAGTATTAATGATATTCTTTTCACTTCGTCTCCGATTTTTTTGTAGTGGGCATTGGGCAGTGATTGTGGAACCGTCTTGATTAAAAGCCATAAACTTTGCCTTCTTTGCATTAAGCTGGAGTCATATCTCCCCTTGAGATGAATTTTCTAGGCTTTTGTGATTATTACTTGAGCAACAGAAGCCAAAAAATATAAAAGAGGAGAAACCCGGAACCAATAACACATGTCACTCTTGAAAGAGGGCTTTGCAGATCTCTTTGGAAACAAAACAAACGTCCATCTAAAATATTTCTATTTTTTAGTACGTAATATTTACGAGCATGTATAATAATAGTTTAGTCTTGGAATCCCCTATAGCTAATTTTCCGTTGGTGTTATGAAATCTGAAATGAAATTTGAATCTCATTTCGAAGCTATTTCAAGTTCGAATAAATAGAGAAACAATGACAATATCGCCAAGAAAGACCGACTTCTGACAATGGAGAGTACAGTCTTGATTCAAAGACATTCTCTGTTTATGTTGTCCATTGTATTTCAACAGAAAAAGGATCAAGCGAGCCGCAACACGCCTCCAAACTCCCAATCATCATTGGAGTTTCATGTGCTGCCTTTGTATTTATCGCTATCCCCACCTTGTGCGCTGTTTTCAAATGGAATCGTTCTGTCAAGAATTCTTTGCTACCTCGCAGCAACAGTCGCGTTGGAAGTGGAAGTGCAATGCCTCAGGAAATGATTTTTCGAAAGGTCGATTACAAATCGCAGGCGACCAGAGTAAAGGAGCAGAAATTTTCCTTGCAGGAGAAGATACAATTGAGTGAAGTGAATAATGGAATAGATTTTTAGAAAATTTATCACACCCGTTTGGAATGTTCATAATATTTTGGCTGCAGTAACTGCATTTTAACGTCGTTAAGACAGAGAGAGAGAGAGAGAAAAAAAAGATTAACATCGTAATTAATGTATGATATAGCCACCGAGATATCGATTAATAGAAATACGGTTCGCATCTGTCAGTGCCTTATTTTTCTATCTGCCCTCTCAGTGGTAAATAGATTTTCGAGGAAACGACTGGAGAAAATACTTTTTCTTAGCTATAAGATATCAGCTAATGACTGGATTCTGGAGGCTCAGTTAATTTGTTTTCCTCGAAGCGGCTGTATTCGCTGGCGGCAAATCCAACATGGCTTCCTCAGTAACTAGCCGAAATTGCCGTCTCGCAGGAATGTTTTTGAAAGTTCAGGTTTGGCTTTACTTCAGACGTGAACTGTATCATATAAAGTAAGTAGTGTTCCCAAGCAGTTATTAGCCTACTGTTTTAAACAAGACATACGATTTTGAACTTGAGCAGATCATGTAAATCAAATCAGTGCTGAAGATGTAATATGTTATCCTTAGACCTCACCCCTTGTGGGGTACTCTAGCAGGTAAGCGTTTTGACTATGGGACAGGAAATAAAGTCACCTTTTATCTCTGGAAGAGGAGTAAATGTCACTTTAAATTGACTTTGGAACAGAGTCGATTTTTCCCCGCCGCGTGTCGCCTTTTCTCGCGTGGGGTGATTTTCACGCGCGCTCGCGTTTCGCACGCTCTACTATCCCTGAGGAAAAATGGGAGGACTACTCGTAGTCTAGATAACATTAACAAAGCAATGCAATATATGGGTAGATTCATATGCAGCATACGCGTATAGCAGTCTCGCATTTTCCCGCTGGAATTTTTCATTGTTTTAAGCCTAAAAACAATAAAAAATTCCAGCGGACAAATGGAACAGCTATACGCTTATGCTGCTAACGAATCCACCCTATAGTAACAGCAAGTGGTAACGTTGCGAGTATGCGCGAGCCGCTGGACGGAAGTTTGTGGTGGTATTGGATCGCAGCGAATGCAGCAAAGAAAACTGGCGCCTCTTTTAAAAATTATCATCGTCGACCATCGTCTTAGTCATCTGTTCTATCTTTGCGGAGTGCAGATAAGACAAAGTCTTTTTTGTAATATGCGAGATTGGTCTCAAGGCTAATAAGGCGCAGATCATTCACAATTTTGCGCGGTTTGTGGTCCATGAGTGATTATTGTTTCGTGTTTTGGCTTGCGCGCTGACACGTCAAGCTTCGATGGGGTTCTGTGTAACAGCTGCAAAACTCCTCTGATCTATTAAAACACTGGATAACTCGGAACAATCTCTTCATGTAAGTTGTGACCAAGTACAAAACGTCCGACGCTTAAGATTTGAATAAAACGCTGTGAAAAAAAAAAAATCTAAATGCTAGTCTGTTTATATAGTCATAATTGCAGTTCTTGCAACAATCTCCTTGCAATAATACGATTTCACGTCAGTTATGGTTCAGGAACGCCCTGTTGTTCAGAGATGTGCAACTTTAGTGCAGTGATTACTTTTCAGAGATACCCTATCCTAACCACCAGAGTCTAGACCAGGTGCAGTGCCCTAATTCTGCGACTGATAAAATTTCAAAGATATCCCACACAAGGCTATGAAACCGTATGTTTCCATTTTTGACTAGATGATATAAAACTAAAGACCCAAAGTGTAGAAATGACATCTATTAAATGTATGTGATGCCTTAACTTATTCAGGGGTGTAGGCAGAATGTTGTAATATGGAGGCTCTAGAATCCAAGATGCCCCTTATACTTCTAAAATAAAGAATTAGATGAGGCAAAACAGGAGTGTGGTACAAGATGTGTCATATTACAGATGTGTTTTATTGAGGTAATCCTAACCATGAAAAATCCTTCCCTTTACTCCCCACACTTCTACATACTAGAAAATTGCAAATATGCACACAACAGTGAAAATACTTAAAATAGTAAAGATCAAAGTCATATCTAAAACTGCGTTTTCTCCCTGAGATATTGAAGTGAATTTTCTGCATCCATGCTTGCACTCATTTTTGCTTTTCATAAATTTTGTTGTTGGTATGTTCTACTGCACATGTGTTAATTATTTTAATTAATATATAGCTAATAAGGCTTAGCTCCCTTGACTAGCCCATATCTATTTGGGGCCAAGTTCTTATGATTTGAAGATTAAAAAATTGAAAATGAGAGAAAATTAGCTCTAACTTTTCCTTTTCATTTAATTTCAACATGAAGAGAACTTAAGGATCTTAAAGCCTGATATTTATAAAGTCTGAGTTTATGGTAGCTTCAAGTGAGCCAATGTATGACTCAATAAAATTAAATCTTGTCTGTGTGTCTTCTGGGGCACCAAGGCTATTTGATGCAGTTCAGTATGGAGTGACAGACCCTTCACATTCTGCAGACAGCATAGGGTTAAATGAAAAACAGATAGTCGCCATTTTGTACCAGCTCTGCTATGGCTTGAGTGAAAAGTAAAACTGGTTTGAATGTGATGATGCACTCATCCTCAATGACTTCAGCTGAATCAACAAGGTTTTCTGCTGAGCATCTCAGAGGGAGCTCCTGCAACAGGCAAAAGGCAAATGAAATTTTCCATAACTTGTCATCTTGCAACACCAGGAGCATAAATTGCAACTTGTGCAGCCTATGATAGATGACTACATACACTAGTACTGTGTGTACACAGCCAAACTGACATTGGCAAGCCAAGTGCTCCTAAATTAATGTGCACAAACACTGAGTATATGAGACCCAGAGTATCAAAAGAATTATTTCTATCGGAGAGTGAAAAGTTACCCCTATTGCATTTTGTTGTTGCCCACAACTAGTGATACCCCTTTAGATATTCAGGATTTCTAAAGTGTGATGGATATACAAATTTATATTCAAGAGGGAAAGAAATCTTTGGGATAGAAAAGGAATAATAACATTTACGATTTTTGTAAGCGTACAAATACATTGTATGTGATGGAGCTAATTCTTATGTGGATGCCAATGCAAGGAATCAAATTCAGGGATTTCATGTTCAGTGTAGTCTGTGCTTCAAACAGGAATGGCAGTCCAGCAAGTGCAAAGCTGAACAAGGGAAAGAATTGTTTTGCGCTTGAACTTGTGCTAGTGTCAAAGTGGGAGTAATATCGTAATGGTCATATGAAAATGCATTAAATCACACTTATCATATTTTATAGTATGGCAGGGAAAAGAATACACATGTGTATTTTCATATTTTATATTGATTTCAGTTATGTTTCAAGACATTATGTAAACATTTTAAGCATAACATTAAAATTCTTTTAGGCGCCAATTTTATATGTATAAACAAATCATCATAGAATAATTATCAGAATAAAATCATCTTCCAAAATGGTGAGGGTTCTTGTCAATGAACTTGAGAGCTTACAGTGCATGATTATTAAAACGCAAATTCATCAGTGTTCCCCCCCTTAGATGCAAAATCAAACATTCAAGAATGAAAGAGTGTTCCGAAACAATGCTTTTACAAATAAGTTTTGTTGGGATATACTTTTACATGTTCACGAAAAATCTGAAAACAAGGTTGAAAAGGACAAGAAAAATTTGTCTATCTTAAACGAAATTTTAGCAAACAATATTTCACAATCCACCGCCCCGATCTCTTAATCTCCGAGAATAAGTAATCGCCAGAGAGCACCAATGTAAACCAGAAAAGCAAATTTTCGAAAATGGAAGGAAACATCCGACTACGGCCTTACTTGTAAGAGTAGGAAATTTGCTTGTTGATTTCATGCCGCTAAATAGTATCAAAATACTCGAACTTCCCCCCTTTGAATTAACCATTAAAAGTGAAAATACGGAGTGACCGAAAGAGAAGTTTAACCTGTTTAGTCGCTTGTGTGGGATACATACATGGATCTCGCTGTACGGTCAGGGTCAAATACTACAACAATACGGGGGTCACATAAATTACGTTGAATTCAGGTTGCTATAATTTGAACACATAGCATTCGATGATGCTGCTCCACATTTCACAAAGTAAATCAAGAGGTATATCTTACCTAAATGCTAGGCAGCTCTGCAGATCATGGACGATAACCCAGAAATCCGTGACCGCTTGAATGTCAACAAATCAACGTATCACAACAAACGACCTCGTGAACGCTTTATCTGCTTCATCAGAGGAGCCAAATGGATGAAAATTAACCAGCTAAATGGTCCTTCTCCCATACATGACACTTCAACATGGCTTAGCCAAAGTATCCAACCTATAATACAAGTCTGCTATTGACTGGATATGCAAAAAAATCTCCCTTGAAAGTCCTTCAGGACAGCTTTCGGCCATTACGATTTCCGGTCAACGAGTGCTTCCCAGCAAGCTCGACGCATGCGCAAACGTTACCACTTGCTGTTGTCACAAATGAAAAATAAGCATGTTATTTACCTATCCTTCGGGGGTATGTGGGCGGTACCAGGTGAATATATCACATACCCCAACGTTTCAGGTAAATGACCCATATATTCTCTTTATGATTTAAACTCTTAACATCAACAAGAAAGCCAAATCTTCAAACTAAATTCGTTAGCAGCATTCCTACGCTACATAAGATATCTAAGGGCTAAGAGGCCTGGGTCAAAGGTTTGATCTCAAATTATGATCATCATACCTACAACAATATAAAATTTTCCCCAAATTTAGACCCTGAGCTGTTTTTTAAGCCAAGACTAGTTAAGAGTTATATTTGCCAACGGCAGATGAGGGTTTGATACCAATACATTGATGCCTATTTATTACTTTGTCATGCCCTTCATGTGGCAAATTCTGACTTCACTTACAGGAGACATTCAACGTGAAAAGTTTACCTGGGATGCTTCAGACAGTCATCTCATGTGTCCTAGTTAAGTTA